AAGGCCACGTACAGGAAGCACAGCAAGAAGGCCACGTACAGGAAGCACAAGAAGAAGGTCACGTACAGGAAGCACAGCAAGAAGGCCACGTGCAGGAAGCACAGCAAGAAGGCCACGTGCAGGAAGCACAGCAAGAAGGCCACGTGCAGGAAGCACAGCAAGAAGGCCACGTGCAGGAAGCACAAGAAGAAGGTCACGTACAGAAAGCACAGCAAGAAGGCCACGTGCTAGAAACACAGCAAGAAAGCCACCTGGACAAAACGGAGCAGGATAATCAGGAGGCAGAGAAGAGTGCAGCTGAAGAGGGAAGCGCCGTCAACGAACAACTCGCTCGGGAGGAGAATAAGCCGACGAACGGAGAGGCCGATGAAGGAAAAAAAGAAGACGCCCCCCTCACACAGCAGGAGGACAAGGGAGTCTCAGTCTCAATGGTAGAAGCGGTGAAGGAGGAGCTACCAGCGGAGGAACCCTCAAAGGAAGAGTCGCCAGCCGAGGAGCACACAAAAGATGAGCTATCATCTGAGGAACCCACAAAGGAGGAGCCTCCAGCCGAGGAACCCGCAAAAGATGAGCTATCATCTGAGGAACCCGCAAAAGATGAGCTATCATCTGAGGAACCCACAAAGGAGCAGCCTCCAGCCGAGGAACCCGCAAAAGATGAGCTATCATCTGAGGAACCCGCAAAAGATGAGCTACCAACGGAGGAACTACCCCAAGTGGAGTCACCGACCGGGGAACCCGCGAAAGAGGAATGCACGGGCGATGGGCTCATCACTGGGGAGCCTTCTCACGAGGCGACTTCCAATGAGGACTCCCCAAAGGAGGGACCCGCGGGGGGCAAGAGATACGGATTATGGGGAAGCTCGAAGAAAAAAAAGAATGCGCATAAGAATTCGAAGAATAAAAAATAAAAGATTCAAGGTGGGAAGGGTGCGCAGGTGAGAAGGGGAAGTACCTACCGGTTGCCCCACGTAGTAGGTGTCTCCATGCGTATGCTTTCATTTGTGTACGCCCTTGAGGCAGCAGACGGCGCGTCCATTTTCGGGGTGTGGGCCAAATTTTACCTTTTTTTTTTTTTAAACACCACATTTTGCATTCCCCCACAACAAATGGTTCAGCCAGATATGCCTGTTTTATATGTGTATGTTAAAGTAGTGACAAAGCTATTTACATGCCCCTTTGTACGCAACTTTTTTTTTTTTTTTAGAAGATACAAAGTTGTTAATAATTAAAACATGCAAACTTGTTCTTTCTCTTTTTGTAACAATTTTATGACCCTCTTTTAATTTTCAACAACCATCTCAAATTGTGGAAGTGTCCAATTTTATTTACGTGAAAAAATCCAGGACACATTTGTTTTTTTTTTTTTTGCTCTTTTTCCCGCACGGGTAAGGGGGGACGCACAAAATTATATCCGCATCTGCCGTTAAAAAAAAAGAAAAATAATAAAAAATGTTAAGCCCCTCATGTGAAACGAATTCGGACCCAAAGGAGGGCGGGCACATCACGCTCATTGCTTTGCATTTTTCTTTCCCTTAAAAATGGGTAATTTTTTCCCAAAAAAAATAACTTGCTTCCCAATTTGCGATTCGAAAAAAAAAAGACAAAGGTGAATTAAAAACTGGCAATTTCAGTTCCCCAAAATGTGCAATTCGTTTTTTTTTTTTTTTATAATAAAAATGTATGAAAATTTAACGCATTTATCTAGTTAAAAGGAAAAAAAAAAAGAGCTATTCCTCTTCAGCATTTATCCTTCCATACAAACATAAGCTTTTTTTTTTTTTTTTTTGTAATCACTTGTGTACACAAAAATACAACGTACAAAAATTTGCAAAACGCGGCGAGGTTTGGAAAGGAATGCCTGCTGATTTTCTTCAGCAGAAAAGTTCGATTTGTGCGCACATCCCTCGTGCAGATGTGTACACAAACATGTAAGCAGACGAATGCAGACGGATGCAAACGAATACAAACAAGTACAAACGAATACAAACAAATACAAACCAATACAAACGCAAGTACACTTGTACACACCTCTACGCACGTGCGATTCGGACGTAGTTAACGGGAGGGACGCGCGAATTAAAAACATTCATAAACTGAAGTTAACGCAAATTCCCGCGTTAAACAAAACGCATAAATGCTCTTTTCGAGGACGAACACCCCCAGCGAGGTAGTTCTGCTACGTACGTCGTACATGTGCGCATAGGCATATGTATACAAACGTGTGACGCCATTTTTCCCCAACTTCTTCACCCATTCTTTTTTTTTTAACTCCAATAGGAAGAACACCACGGCAAGGAGAAAAGAAAAAACAAAAAAGCAACCCTTTTAAATAAGTTTCAATTTTAAAACAAATTAACACGTTGGAGGTGTTTTTTTTTTCCAATCATGGCACTGATATTTAAGAATATACCAAACTTTAGCTTGCGGTTTTTATCGATGGTTGCAGGTAAAAGGAGCTTCTCCGCTTCGTCGTTTCTTCCATTTGCCACTTCTCCGTTTTGTCGTCTCTTCCATTTGCCGCTTCCCCGCTTCACAGCTGCCCCCTTCACTTCCCCCCCTTCCTCGCAGGCGCCCTGATGATTACCGGCGGCATACTGAACGTTTTCAACCTGTTCCAAACAGTGATCAATTTGTACATCATATGCTCAGGTGTCCTCTTAATCCTGTGCGACGTGAAGACATTCAATTTTTATCGACACATCGAATTCTTATTCACAGTAGTTGGCAGAGGCCTGTACATGCTCATAATAGCTTCCATCCTAATTAACAAGGGTTTTTTCAGCTTATTGATAGGCATTGCTATTATTATGATTTCCTTTTTGTATGTAACCCTGGGTTATTTTAACGGAATCCCCGTACCCCTCTTGGACAAGAATAACCATTTGGGGAGTTACCCCGATCAGAAGAACAACGTCCGAAGTACTTGCTCTATGGAGACAAGGGATGGCTTCAATTAACATGTGAAGATTATGTAGACCAGGAAGGGGGGAAGGGGAAAAAAAAAATACACAGGATATCTTTATTCGCACTGTTTAGCGAAGCCGTGTGAATGAGGGAGCGTCATTATGTGGCCCATGAGGATGGCGATTTTTTTTTTTTTTTTTTCTGTCTTTTGTCCGCTCGCTTCGCCCAAAAAAAAAAAAAATAAAGTAATAAAAAAGAAAATACAAAATTTGTGCCCTCCGTTTCGATGGGACTCACCTTCACGTGCACTCAAAAGAAGATACTTTAATTTTTTTTGTGTCCATGCTGTACGAAATTTTCTTTTTCTTTTTTTTTAAAACGCAGCTAGACATGCACCTTGTTGAAAATGTACATGGGTAAAAAGCAGCCGCATTCGTACCCGTTCGGTATGCCCATGTGTATTAATCCCGTTTCGCGTTTTCCTTCTGTTTGTGCGCACGTCCGCGTGAAGGCATGCCCTAATGTGTGTTGGACGCTCCTTGCCTGAAAATGCAGAGCGGAATTAAGAGATTACAAATTTAGGCTGCTCCCTCGCCGAGTTTTAAATCCGTTTGGTCATCAACGTTTGAAAAAAAAAAAATTACCAAATTGGTCATCACCAAATTGGCGATTAACAAGTGAACAGATGAACCAGCGCTGTTATTCCGCCCTTGTACGGGTGACAACTCGTAATACACAAAATGATCAGCACAACGGGTGCTTGTTTAATCTGCATAAAAGTGGGTTCCCCCCTTAAAGGTAGCGTTGTCGTCTCGCCGCCTGCCTTCCCAATTGGCGTGCCACTGGCGGAGACACGAAGTGATAGGTGCCACTCCACATATGTTTAGAAAAAAAAAAAAAAAAAATTATTCCTTTCATACCGAAGTGGGCGCAGTGTGAGCAATTGTACTGCGTTTCTTTTATCTTACAGGACGGTTCCACATGCACGTAGTTATGCGGAAAAATAGTTACAAATTCATTTGCCTATTTATGGTACACGGTGGGGACATATGATATACATTTTGCTTTCCCCTTCGCATTTACTTTTGCGTTCGCTCGCCCGTGCATTTGCTCCTACTTTGTATTACAAAAGGGGGAGCAAAAGCCATCGCGGGGATTTGGGAAAATCCGCACGGGCATATGGGGGGTTGAAAAAACAGAAAGGAAATTTAAAAAAACATAAACAGGGGATAAAAAAAAAGAAAAAAAAAAAAGAAAGAAAAAATGGACAATGATTGCCGCTTATCGGGGGGCGATAATTAAAAAGGTGAACGGTGGGCAACAACGGGGAGTCGTTCCTACAGTTATTTTACCTAACTATATGGTTGCTCCTCCATTACGTTTCTCCCTTCACCTCGCTGCTTCTCCTGGCCGCCTCAAAAATTGGGGACGGAAAAGTCCGACTTCTTCTCATTCGCCTCGCACCAAGCCTTCGCAATGGTCCTCTTCATGTCGCTGTCTCCCTCCTGGTACAGCTGCTTCATCATATTCATCAGCATGGTGGAGGGTTCGGCCTGCTCGTCCATTTTGGGCGCACGAATCTTAGACATGGGCGACTCCTTGAAGTGCAAATTGTCCCAATATTTCTGGTCCTGTTTTATTAAGTACACATGCACAGCGTCTTTCTTAACTTTAAAGCAGCATTTACCTGCCACGATTTTTTCATGTAATTTTTTTACACAGAAACGATAATTTTTCTTGTTCACCTCGTGCATTTTGATTTCAAAACTTCTTTCGTTAAACTCTGCGCAAATTTTGTCCTTGTCAATATTGTGTACATCTTTAACGGTCAAAAAGACGGTAACTTTATTTCCTTCCTGATTCCATGCGAAGGACTGAACAGAGCTGTACGAAATGTTGCTGTCACTTAGAGGTGTACTTTTGTCCGTTATTTTGTTTGGAGTTTGACTTTCTTCCAGCTTGAGCTTTGCTATTTCTACTGTTGTGTTTTCTATGCATCGTTTTATTTTTTCCTTCACATTTTCTCGCACTGCCTGGGTCAGCAATTGGTTCAGCTCGGCGATATCTTCGTTCAGCTCGGCTACTTGGGGAGACTCCATCGGGGCTCTTCTACACTCGTTCGTCAAACTGGAGGATCGGGAGGGGGTAGTGGTGCTGCCGCTAGAGGAAGCAGTCATGCGATGCGGTACAGCCCTGAGAAGTGGTGACTGACTCAACCAGCTTCCCAGCGACGTATTTTCGCGTCAGGACCAGTACGTACACCGGAAGGGCGCAGATTTATGCAGTTCGCTCAGAGGGGGCTAAAATTTATGTACGTACAGTCGGAGGATTGAAAATTTATGTAGGTACTTTTTTTTCCTATATTTCGCAATGCTCGAAACAGTGGCCCTACCATCCAATGGCGCATTTTTTTTTTCCCTTTGTTGTCAGTTGTTTGTTAAAATTTGGTTTAAAAAAAAAAAACAAGTTTGCTTACATTTCGGAGGGGCGCAAATTCAGCAAAAGATTAAAAGCAACATGATTTTTACAAAGGGAGAAGAAAAAAATAAAAAAAAATGGAGCGGTGTTTCCAACATGAAAAAGTGCTTGTAAAATAAATTTGTACTTGGGCATCTACGCATAATGCAATGTTTGCTCAGCGCTGTAGGAATGGTCTCTTGTCGTTCGGTTCCTCTTTCCTTGGTGGTTTTTCCTTTCACATTTTGTTTCCCACTTGTGTTGATATGTATTACATATGTGCTACATGTATGTTGTTAACATATGCGTATCTATATGGCTTTATTTTATATTTATTATTTTTTTCTTTTTTTTTTGCCTACCTCCCAGGTATGGTTAACCCAAATGCGCCTTTAAAAATCTTCGCCGCGGAATGTCCCCTATAAGAAAAATGACGCCTCTTTCTTCAGCGCATTTCCCCCTGGCGGATTCTCTGTTAAGAATATGGTACAACTGGAGGGATGAAAAATCTCAAGTGGAAAAAGTAATTTTACATAAAGGGATAATTAGCTACATATTTGTCCCCCTTTTAATTTCATTCTTTTTCCGGCTCCCCCAGTTAATGCTCTTTTAACCCTCTGCGTGTCAGCATTTTATCCATACGCATGTCCCATATATGTGACACACCCATGAAAATACGAACGTATGCACACGTGAGGTGAGTTAGCCCACTTGAACGGGGTCACATAAAAAAGATCGGAACGGTAGCTTCTGCAACCGCGTATTACTTTAACCTTCTAAATGAAGGCCTTTTGGGTCGGATCACTTCTCCATTTTGCAGCAAAGGGGAAAGACTGCTGAAGAGGTTTTCTTTTCCCCTTTTGAAGAGCCCCTATGGGGGTACGTGCAACTGTGTGTTCCGCCAGATAGCTGTACTGCTCCTGCAGGTGGGTCCTCCTTTTTTATTATAGTATTATCATAATTCAGCATCATGCAGATGTGATCGTAGACATATGATTGCATCCCCCTTGTGGAGGGGGCCCCTTTAGTCACGCTGCACAAAGTGGGATGGATCCGTTTCGTGAAAAATGGAGCCCACTTTGCCTACGCGGCTCATGTTCTTGGGCAGAGCGGGTGCCAAAAGGGAAAAAAAAAAAGCCGAAAACAAGGGGAAGAGCGATGCCGTGTATGGACCCCCCAATGGGTACCGAAATGATGTACCGCCGCACTATAGGGACGATATTCCGTTTCAAAAAGAAGATTCAAACGAATGGCAACAAAATGAATTAAGGTCTTTTAGGCCATCCAATGATAGGCCTTTTTAATAGGTCATTGTGAGGCGGCCCCCCCAAGCTACTAAACCGCAACGCCAGCAGCGAAAAAGAAGAAATCCATCGAGGGGAAACCATTGCGTAATAGCATGAACAGGCACCACATGCGGGAAAAATGTGTCTCCTTACGCAGGTCTATAAGGCGCTGTATGAAATCACTCAACGGTGTGCAATCGTTAAAGATGCGCGCTTTAGACCTGCATATGTGCTCACATTTAGGTGGGGTAAACTGGGCAAGTGCTTCTACCCCGGTGGGTTGTGTATAGTTCCACGTTTCTCCGTTCTGTTTGCTCCTCCGCACACAGGCACAAATTCTTCCTGTAGAAATTGGGTTGAAAATTTCGCTGCTTCGTAGCACTCCAGGTAGAGAACCATCCCCACGGCCTAAAACTCATCACTTTTCTGAAGTACCGCTTCTCCCTTTGAGCCTCCTGGTTAAGCTCTTTTTCTTGTCAAGTTGCAGGGATTTTTGCTTAGACAAAGAGGACAATTTTTTTAACTGGACGGAGGTGGATGATCCCTTGCGGAGGGTTAACGATTTACTCTGAAGCAGTGTAGGGGATGGTTCTCTTTTTTTTCTTACTGTGAAGTTTTTTCCCCCCTCATTTGTTAAAGAGGTTTTTTTTTTCAAATTATACGATTTGGATAGGGACCATTTTTTGAGTAACTTTGGTCCGATATTTTCGCTCATACATGTGGAGTTACTCGTCTGTTTTCCTTCCCCTAGTGGTGCATGTGCCATTTTATTTGTTTTGCCCGAAGTGGGTTGCTCTGTGTGTGTATTGTTGGATTTGGACTCCCTCCTCTTCAGGGACAGCAAGTTCATCGGTCTGGATGTAAACGAGTGTTTCTTATGCATGTTTGGGCCATTCCCAGATTGATCATTCGTCTTCCCCTTTCTGCTAATGGAATCATTTTCCACAATGGGAAGGAACTCCTTCGTCCCACTGATCTGTGCATGGCTAGGGTAGTTCTTTTTCGAGACGAATGCCAAATGGGTTGTGCTCTTCTTCGTTTTGGGAGCCATGTCAAGTGGTGCATTTTTTATGGGTACTTCCTTCTTCGTAGTAATGTCCCCTCGGATAAAGTCTACCAAATGTTTAAGCTTCCCCATTTCGACACTTAAAAAAATGGGAATATGTTTTTTTTTCAAAATTTGGATTAAATGCGGTTTGAATAAAGAGTACACAAACTTTTCCTTCGTGGTGCACCGGTCACTATGGCAGAGGTAGAAGCAGGTGTATGTATCGGATGTCTTGTAAAGGACATAAAGAATATGTAGCTCCTTTGTTAGGTGAAGAAACGATTCAATGGTTTCTATTTTCTGAAAACGACTCTCCAGTTTGTACTTCTCTACATCTATGGTGAGCAGAACGATGCAAGTGTTTCTCTCCTTGGCGAGCAAATCGAGATCGTTGCACAGGCCATCACCTTCATCATTTAAGCCGTCACAACACTGCTTCATTTGCTCATTTAGAAAGTAGTAATTGTGCAAGTAATTCGTAACGCTGAAATGGGACAGTACCCTTGCCTTACACATTTGCGTCGCGCTACCTACGGTCAAGCACTTGCCGAGACTGCCCCTTATGCATCTTTCCAGCTGCTCGAAATTGTGCACTTCGTGAAATGGCACGTCCCTATCATGGTCCACATAATAAAGAAGGTTATTTTTTAAATTGCAATAAATTAACCTATTCAGCTGTGTCACTTTGGTGTACTTTTTTTCCCTTACGACCTTCTCAGCAGACTCATTTTGCCTCCCCAATTCTGTTGCTACTGATTCGTCGGGGACCCATAGAATAAGGACCCATCTATATCTCGCCGTAAACACTGCAGCATTGTAGAGTATGAAAGCAAGCTCGTCATTTAATAGGCATTTTATACTTTCCAAATCGTCGCTCGGGTTTTCCCTTTGTTCTGTGTAGCCTTCCAGGGTGAATTGAACTGACAAGTGGGAGGGGGGGAGGAAGTTGACATAACAGGATTGTCCACACGGGGAGGAGATCACACAGGGAAGGAGGCATCCACAGAAGGACGCACACAAGGAGGGAGGGACCCACGGAAGGAAACACTCTAAGACGCGCTCATTTGCGAAAAACTGGTCAAACGAAGGTGGTCCTTGCGAGATGGAGTCGATACCCATCTCGCACCCCCCGTTGCAGCGATGGGGTGGTACGATTCGCCCTGACAACTGCTGTGCATGTCCTGGATCCAATGGGCTCCTGACTCATTCTCAGCACCGGCACCACCATTCTGCCTTTCCGCCTTTCCACCTTTCCCCTCATAAATTCTTTCATTACATTTGCTGTTTAGCGAAATGAGGATACATCGCTTGTTGCTCTTTTGCTTATTGCATAGGGCGATTTCCTGTCGGAGGGAGGGGCTTAAATTTGCCTTCATTTTTTTTTTTTTAATGGGGAATTAAAGACAAATGCGTTTTTTATTTTTTTTTCAAAGGGGGATTAAAGACAACTGCGTTTTTTGTTTGTTTTTTTTTAATAGGGATTAAAGACAACTGGGTCTTTTTTTTCTTTTTTTTTTTGTCTTTGCCGACTTGGTCACTTCCCGCGTAGGATTTCACGGAAAATGCTGCGACAATATTGTGGCAACGTTGCGCAATTTTGAGGATAACATTTGCAAGAATTTCTTTTTTGCAACGCAGGAAATTGTCTTATCTCAGAAAATAACCAAGGATGTTACTCCTGGGGGAACAACTGTGAGGGAAATGAACTTCCGCTGGCGGAAGGGCTTTCGCCGCTTCACATATGCAATTTTTTATTTTGACTTTTCTACGCAGTGTGCGCCAGGTATGTCCGGACAGGCAGCAGAAAACAGACGAGGTTTTGTCAAAAAAAAAAAAAAAAAAA